TCATACGGTTTTTCTGATTCATCAACATCCTCATCATTCTCGTCAGGCATATGAACACTGTCATTTTTTTTGGGCGTTGAACCAAATACTGGCATGCCCTGTCCAGGAAATACTAAAAAAACACAAAGTGTGAGTTCTTTAAGCTTAATATCCAGTGGATACAACATATTTTATTCTCGGTTGACTTTGTTTATCTCGTACAGCATTATATTGTCTGATATTTTCAGCCATAACCACTGGATTTTTAATGTAAGATTAAAATCATATTAGAAACTTAACATCGTGAGAAAAGATTGCTCTGTAGATTTTTCTACCCTTAAAAACCCTTTATTTTGGAAATTAACCTATTATCAGACTACAATGTTACCTCTATCACTCCCATTTATCGAATCATTGTTACTCGTCGACTGTTTGGCTAACTCAGCAAAACTAAACGTTACTGGAGTTGAGAATAGTTTAGTATTCGTGACTGGTGAACTTGTTCCAAATTTGAAACCAGAAAAATCACTGTTACTTGTTGCTGTTATTGTGGTGGTAATTGGCACCGAGAGTGTTGTTGTCGCTGCTGTTCCGAAACCGGCAAAATGAAATCCACCATCAGAATTTTTCGTTTCAGGTAGATTTCCGAATATAGACGTGCCACCAAAACTATTCGTAGGCATGTTCCCAAAGATCGATGGTTTATTTGTGTACGCATTAGTTGTAGAGGACAGAGGTGATTTTTCCTCTTTAATTGTAATCTTGGATAATGCCGGTTGAGGTTTATCTTCTTTGACAGTAATGTTTGATAACGATTGAGATAGATTTTCTTCAAATGGTGATTCTTTAGTATCATTAGGCTGAACGGTAATCTTCGTTATGGAGGATTGTGCTGAAAGAAACATAATAATCATTGTAAAGTTCAAATAACAAGTGAAACCAAATCAGTGACGGATCCAGAATTATTCTTTGGTACGTGCGGTATACGTACGGTCGTCACCGAACAAATTATTCTAAGAGAGTTCTGCTGGAAAAAACCAGTTTGTTGGTTAAAAGATACGAGTGACCGCTCGTGGGCTGGATCCGCCACTGAACCAAACTTGTCTTCATACATGCGGAGAAAGACTCATTTTTTCGTGAAGTGGGCTCGCAAAAGAAAGGAGTATATTAAAAGTATTCTTCTTAAATCGGCTATCGTTTTTATAACGTCTTTTTACTAATATACTAAATTTCTACAGTCAGTATGAGAGAAAAGATAAACGTTTTAATTCCGTCATTGATGAATAGTGACAAAACGATCGAAGAGGTCTATTCACTCGGAATCATCAAAATATTTTTCAAACATAAAGATAATTAAACATCCGTACTGTCGTGATGTGTGCGTGTCTGCTCTGTACGATTGTTCTCAGACATATCTAAAAGTAATACAATTCATGTATTGATACAAACAGATTCTGAAGCTTGAAGTAAAAACAAAAAAGTACAGCAGCAATCACATTAATTGTCTTACAATTGTTGTTTATTGCTTCGAATACATTAATTAATATGATATCAGTTAAACGAGAAGAATAATTATGAACTGCATTCATCTCAACAGTACAAGTTAAAACCCTCGATTTTTTTTGATCAGATGAGACGTCTGCTGCTGTTATTGGAATATCAGTTAATCCATCGCTAGGGTAAAAACAGGAGGCCAATGATACTGGTGGTGTACGAATTGGTAACGAACGTTTTGCTTTAACGATAATTCGATATTGATTATAATAATCATAATCATTCGAAAAGGATACTTCGGACAATGGTAACAACGACATTAAGGAAGGAGGATGAGTGTTACGAGGAAAATCTAAAGCGAAATTTTTTTCCATTTCAGACAGAGTCAAGTAATTGCCTCATTCAGACCTACTTGAGCGCACCCCAGCATTCTCAACAACAGCAGCAGAAGATTGACCATCAATGTCAACATACTTCGCAATTGGTACTAAAAAAGTTATAATGGTCTTTCAAAAAAATTTACTAGTACAATTTGAACTGTAGCAGCATTAGAATATCGAACATACTTTCGAACGGTGTTTTTCTTTGACAACCAATACAACCCTTACATGGTTCTCGATCTTCATATAAAAAAAATGTTCGAGGTAGTTTTAACCGTTCCGCACGTTTTATTTGATCATTTGTGGGTAATTTTTCGTCAATAAATATTACGTCTAGAAGAGATAGAGAAGTTATTAAACATGGAAATTTACTTCGTTGATCGACACTATTCAACAAGAGCATACAATAGATTTATAGCCCCCTTAAACAGTAGAAATGTTTCCGTTCAGAACCTAGCTCAGCGATTGTGCCGAAAGGTTCACATTTAGGGCACGAAGTTAGCGTTACTCGCGAGAATTTGTACGATAGACGGGTTATATTGAGCGTACGCACAGTACATTACTAAAACAGAAGGGGACACCATATCCTACAAAAGACTAGATTTTGGCCATAAACTTAAAATTCTTTACCATTACATTCAAAAATATACATCAGCGTTAATTAAGTAAAAGCATTTACCATCATCTACAGTAGATATTTCAGATTGCTCCTTTAGTTCTGCTGGTTTGTTTGTCGTCGAGGATTTTTTCTGCTGCTGTTGATCCGTTACACTTGGTTTTGTTTCACTTTGTTTAATTTCTTCAATTGGTTTGCTGACTTTTTGCTCATTTGATAAATCTTTTTTC